GTTTGGTCATCTCGGTGCTCAAGGGCAGCGGAAATCCGGATAGAGGGTGCAGGGGTTCAGCTCCAGACCCATGGAAAACATTGGAGTGCAAACATAGCTTTTTGCACCCTCCAAAAGCCGTATAAGAGGCCTGTCACACCACCAAATACATTTAATCCTAAAAACCAGTGATCGGGAAACGAACGATCATGTGGGATCACCGATCATCAGACGTCCAGTTGTTGGTCAGGAGCGCCCTATGCTGGTCTTTGGGGCCCTCACCGGCTAGGAGTGTCCTGAACCGCGTTTGGTGCCCCATGACGGCATCTGAGGACCCCACGTAGACTCCAGGGGTTACGCTGCCTCTGAGGGCCCCCACGGCGGTCTCTGAGGGCCCTCGTGACACGGTCCTAGATCCATCTCAGGTCTGAGTGCCCATCGGGCTTTAGACGGCCCACGACGGCCTCTGAGGGCCCCAAAACAACCAGGCTGCAGGGGCTATGCTGGCATCTGAGGAACCTGTGACGGTCTCTTGATGCCCCTAACGATGGACTCTGATGTCCTTACCACAGCCTCTGAGGGCCTTGCAAAGATACCTGAGGGCCCAGGGCCTATGAAGACCGTCATGATGGCCAAGGATCTTCATGATGACCTCTGATGGTCCTCTTGAAGGCTTCTAAGGGCCCTCACAACGATTTCCACAGTGATTCCACCCGAGACGTTCACTGAGTGCCCTCACGACGATCTCTAGGACCCAATGCAAGCTTCAAATGCCCACGCTGGCGTCTGAGGGCCCCACGACGGCCTCTGATCTGGCCTCAACGCAGGCAGACTGCAGGGGTCATGCTGACCTCTGAGAGTCCTGTAACGAAGGCTCCAAGGGCCCACGCTGGCCTATGAAGAACCCTACGACGGCCTCTGGAGGGCCTTAACGCAGGCAGGGGACACGCTGGCCTCGGGGCCCCGCGAAGATTTCAGATTCAGAGGCCCTTCACAACGACCTTTGAGGGCCTTACAAAGGTCTCTGAGAGCTTACGCAGGCTCGTGGGATTCCACACTGATTGTCAGGTCCCATGTAGGCTTGTTGAGACACTGTATCCGCTCCTGGTGCCCCTTCGCCGGCCTCTGAGAGTCTCAACACCGGAACTTCTTGGCCCTACACCGGCTTTTAGGACCATTACATCGATCTTGGTACCCACGACCCATCAAATATGTGTCCAAGCGGCTTCTAAGAATCCCCATGCATGTTCCACGGACATGAAGCCGAATTTTTGGGCTCACACGGGAGCTCTTGGGACCCCATGAACGCTCCAGGGACCTACCTGCCTCCAAGAGCCTCACACTAGGGTGACCGGTTTTGCAAAAAGTTTCGAAAAGTTTTGCTCCCCAGGTCTAATCTAACGTATTTGGGGGTGCTGATCACGAATCCGGCGGAAAAAATATAAAATTCGAATTTTTTTTGACCGCCCCGGCTCTTTGATTATTTCCGGTTTTCTCAATTTTTGCATGTTTTTGAATAATATGATGAATCTAATGAAAAAATATTAAAAATGTATCGCTAAATGCATGTACCAGTCGATTCGGCACACAGCGGCGTCGAAATCGGCACGCCGCCTGCTTCACCGGCCTCTCAGGAAAGCATAAGGCTCGGAAGGTTTGCGTTAGTTACCCGATTCTCTCCATAGATGGCGCTGGCGTAACCGCCCGCCGGCCGGTCGTTGCCGTGCCGTTCACAGCCCCGGCGGTCACTTGCGACCGTCGTGGTCGTTATGCTACGTCTATCAAAGCACGACAGAAATGTTCACTTCATTTTTATGTTACTTCAGACATATTTTAGACCTAATGTTGAATTGGATAAATGACTATCGTGAATTGGCGAAATGGTGGAGTGCGCTCGGGAGCCATTTACAATAGCGAGGAACGTAGGTGGATTGATCTGAGTAACATATGACTCTGCGTTCACTGTTGATATGAAGTTTATTCACACTATGTAGTATGTAGTCGGGTGACATGAGAACAAAGTGACTAACATACCTTGTGTACGACACATGGATGAAGCTAATGCTACTTTTTCATTTTGTTTCGGTAGGCCCGTTTGTTCAGAGCGTAGCCGTCCTGTCGGTCTGCGCCTGTTACAGCTGTGACTGATTCGGTGGTCAGCTTTACAGCCCTTTCGGTGGATTGGGTATGGCTGGGGACCCCCGTTTTGGAGTCTGTAGAAAGTCGCGCAACTCATCTTCGCTCATGTGTCGTACACAAGGGGGCTCAATGTCTCGGCCCTCGTCAACCGCTCGCTGCACGTTAACCAGTTCCATATAGTTGTTCGCTTGAACGTTAATTTCCGGCAGCCGGAAGTGCCGAATGGGCTGCTGCTGTGGCGGTGGGGTGGCAGCTTTGGCGGCGGTCGTGGCGGCGGTGCCGGCGGTGGTGGTGGTGGTGGTGGTGGTGATGGCCGCCGCCGTTTCAGACGCCGCTGCTGCTGTTGTGGCGGCGGCGGCGGCGGCGGTGGCGGTGGTGGTGGTGGCGATGGCCGCCGCCTCTGTCGCCGCTGCTTCTGCTGTGGCGGGGGCGGGAACGGCGGCTGCTCCTGTCGCTGCCTTTTTTGACGAATGCTCTGGATTATTAATCCAGAGCATTCGTTTTGGATTATTAATTCGTTTTGCATTCGTTTTGGAGCATTCGTTCCAGAGCATTCGTTTTGGATTATTAATCCAAAGCATTCGTCAAAAAAGGCAGCGACAGGAGCAGCCGCCGTTCCCGCCCCCGCCACAGCAGAAGCAGCGGCGACAGAGGCGGCGGCCATCGCCACCACCACCACCGCCACCGCCGCCGCCGCCGCCGCCACAACAGCAGCAGCGGCGTCTGAAACGGCGGCGGCCATCACCACCACCACCACCACCACCGCCGCCGGCACCGCCGCCACGACCGCCGCCAAAGCTGCCACCCCCACCGCCACAGCAGCAGCCCATTCGGCACTTCCGGCTGCCGGAAATTAACGTTCAAGCGAACAACTATATGGAACTGGTTAACGTGCAGCGAGCGGTTGACGAGGGCCGAGACATTGAGCCCCCTTGTGTACGACACATGAGCGAGGATGAGTTGCGCGACTTTCTACAGACTCCAAAACGGGGGTCCCCAGCCATACCCAATCCACCGAAAGGGCTGTAAAGCTGACCACCGAATCAGTCACAGCTGTAACAGGCGCAGACCGACAGGACGGCTACGCTCTGAACAAACGGGCCTACCGAAACAAAATGAAAAAGTAGCATTAGCTTCATCCATGTGTCGTACACAAGGTATGTTAGTCACTTTGTTCTCATGTCACCCGACTACATACTACATAGTGTGAATAAACTTCATATCAACAGTGAACGCAGAGTCATATGTTACTCAGATCAATCCACCTACGTTCCTCGCTATTGTAAATGGCTCCCGAGCGCACTCCACCATTTCGCCAATTCACGATAGTCATTTATCCAATTCAACATTAGGTCTAAAATATGTCTGAAGTAACATAAAAATGAAGTGAACATTTCTGTCGTGCTTTGATAGACGTAGCATAACGACCACGACGGTCGCAAGTGACCGCCGGGGCTGTGAACGGCACGGCAACGACCGGCCGGCGGGCGGCTACGCCAGCGCCATCTATGGAGAGAATCGGGTAACTAACGCAAACCTTCCGAGCCTTATGCTTTCCTGAGAGGCCGGTGAAGCAGGCGGCGTGCCGATTTCGACGCCGCTGTGTGCCGAATCGACTGGTACATGCATTTAGCGATACATTTTTAATATTTTTTCATTAGATTCATCATATTATTCAAAAACATGCAAAAATTGAGAAAACCGGAAATAATCAAAGAGCCGGGGCGGTCAAAAAAAATTCGAATTTTATATTTTTTCCGCCGGATTCGTGATCAGCACCCCCAAATACGTTAGATTAGACCTGGGGAGCAAAACTTTTCGAAACTTTTTGCAAAACCGGTCACCCTAGCCTCACACATACTTTTGGGGCCCTAACGCTTGCCCCTGAAGGCCTCACTCAGACTCCTACCCTTTCCTCCACACCGGTTCTTTAGGCTAAACATCAGCTCCTTTGGCCTCTATCTCGGTTTTTGAGGGCCTCCATACAGGCTTTTTGGGTCCGATGCCGGTCTTTGAGAACTTTCCAGACTCTCGAGCCTACGCTGCTTTCTGAAACCCTTCAGCACCTTCTGAGGAACCGACCCTGGTCGGGGACTCATTCAATCTGAGAAGTCGTGAAGGCTTCTGGAGGAGCCTCCATTGAGTCATTCAGTTTCCAGAGGTTTTTTTAACGGTCTTGTAAGAGCGGACCCGTAGGGCTCTCAAAGGTCCACTGCGGATCCAGAAAAGTGGTTTGAGGCTTGCGGGTGGTGGTTAGCATAAGAAAAATCACCCAGTAAAAAAACTTGTTGCATTTCACTTATTTAGGTATGCTGTGATTTTGTTAGGTTCACTGAAATATGCAAACATTTTGGATAACTTCCTGTATGGATTGTTTCCTTAGCTTTAGGTTTTCATAAATCGATGATCGGCAGCTTAAAAAGTAAAGGGGCCCAAAACCTTCAGTGGGGCCCCTTGAGAAAATTTTGCATCCCCATCCAAAATTTATTTTACATTCCTCCCAGTGCGGGGGCGGATAGGGGTCGTCGGATAGGTCGGAAACTTTTGCCCTCCCCAAACGGATCGGCTGGATCCGCCCCTGGAGGTTGGCGATGTACGAATAGATACAAATCAGTCAAACAACGGTCGGCCGTATCTGGTCGCTGGCTGTAGTGCAAAGCGGTATATTTTTCCTTATTTTTGTACAAACGTCCTCTTTTGAGAGGCTTCACATGTTGTAAATGATGTCTTAATATCTGGGGTGTGAGGAACATAGGTATAACAGCAAATCCGTCATCAGAGGTCCACCTCGGCCATGTCCAAATTGTCCATTTCTCACTTCGCAGCTATCCCTGCGCCCCTGCAACCGGGTGCTGCTCACTCAGTGTGTCTGTCTGTTTCAGTCGAGTCACAATGCCGGGCGTCTGCCCCCGCTGCAACAAAAATGTCTACTTCGCCGAAGAGAAGAAGGCACTGGGAAAGTGCTGGCACAAAATGTGCTTCAAATGCGGTGAGCAAGGGGAAGGGGAGCTGTTGGTCAGGGTAAGGGGTGCTCTTGGTTAGGGCGATCCAAGAAGGAGGGAGTGAAGAAACAGGAACAGTGCGTTGTGAGTGAAAGGATAGTGAATCGCTGCTTTTGAAAATGTTGCCCCGTGTGACATGAAAGGTGAAGTGTGTGTCCCTTTTTAGGTATTAAATTCAGGGCTGGAATAAACCTCAGGAGATGTAGATTCGACACCAGAGGCCAACTTAGGTCACTGATCTGACCTGACCTGCCTTCACCGTGAAATCTCTCGAATTTACCTAATACCGGCGGCGCTGGCTGAGATTACGCATATGTCGGTGCATTGGCCCAGAGACGGAGTCGGAGTCAGAGATCAGGAGCGTGGAGTCGGAGTCGGAGTCTGAGGAAGACGAGTTGGAGTTGGAGTTGGAGTTGGAGTTGAAGTCGGAACGATACTACCACGATTCTGAAATGCTGGTGTGCAAATGGAATGCTGTCATTTTCTAAATATATTTCAAATGCAATAACGGTTGCCAAATTACGAGGGATTGTGCAGTTAATTGTGTTTAAATTGTTCATGTTTACCCGTTCATTGCATTGCGTTATTACAAAAATTATATCCATGTTATTACCGTACGACATGTAAAGTAAACCGTGTATTCGTTTATCACCGTTCCAAACATGCTAAAAAGTCACGACTTCTCTCCCGCTCCAGCGTCGTGCAACAAGCTGATGGACTCGACGAACGTCACGCAGAGGGAGGAGGAGCTGTTCTGTAAGACGTGCTACGGCCGCAACTTCGGCCCCAAGGGCTACGGCTTCGGCGGCGGCTCGGCCGGCGTGCTCAGCATGGACGACGGCACAAAGTACAAGGTCAGACCGTGTGAATAAAATAGTTTTTATCTGCTGATGCTTTAATGTTGATCGTGAGCTTACTGATTTACAGAATTCTGCGATAGGTGAGGAACCTTACAGAGGTGACGTTGCTAAATATTTGCCAACGGGGGCAGCCAAAAGCTTTTGTAATGTAAACTATATAAAATGTGTAGTTTATCTGGCGACAAATAACTTCCTAGTTTCTGGTATGTGCCGTGGTAGCCGATGGTGTACCGTGTGAACGACTATTTCAGCACCTGTATTCTATCCCCATTTTATCTATCATTTGTCAGTGTTGTTTCCATTCATATTTCATTTCCAATTCATGCTGCTCTTCTCTCCACGTCTGTGTTTTCTGCCGTCCCTGCTCTATTCCGGAAGGGGCGGACGGGTAAGGAAAGGCTCTCGAGTGTTGGCATGGCGGGCATGTGAATGACCATTCGGAGAACCCGGACTGAGGGGAGGTCCTAACCAAAGTAGCGTTTGTGTACTTGTTTATTGCCGCCATAAATGTATAAACAGCCTTCACGGCTAGTGTTTATCGCTAGAACGTGCCAAAAGTAGTACGCCGAAGCTGACAATGCCTTGTTAAAACAATAATTCGTTTCCTTTTTGAATGGACATGGCTTTGTTCATGAGTTCATAGGCAACAACTGTTATGAAACAAATGTAAGTATATTCATAGAAGCCTTATCGCTACTGCCGCTGTATTTCGACGAGTTTCAAGAGGTACACTGTGCCCTGACGCCCGAGACTATCTCGCGCCGAACCCCATCTCCTTACCTTCGTATCCGAACCGTCTCTTGACTGAGTCGCTTTCCTCTGACTGTGCCCTCTACTCCGTTTTAGAGCGACCCTCCCACCTCTAACGTGCCCCAGACTGTGTCACTGACCCTGATTGTACCCCTGTCTCCTAACAGTGTCCCTGTCTTTGACTGTGCCCTCTGCTCGGTTCCAGAGCGGCCCTCCCACCTCTAACGTGCCCCAGACGGCGCAGGCCTACGTGGCACCAAAGGCGGGCGGTGTGGTACGGCCGGTCGGCGGGCCCCGACCCCGCTTCGGCGGCTCAGACATCTGCAATAGATGCGGTAAGGGTTCGTCTGTTTGTTAGATTGGTAACAAACAGTGTTTGGTAACAGACTGGTCACATGGGTCTCTTCGGTCCATTTTGTGATAGATCTTTCATGGGCCTGGATTTTTCGTATTGTGCAATGTGCAATGCGCGTGCGTACCCTTTTACCAGGCTCCGGATAATCAGTAAATAATGGTGTCTGAAAATAATGTTTTTAAAGAAGCATCAGTTGAGAAATGTTTGCCTTGATGAGCTTTTATAGTTTGAGCAATATCAGTACAATTATTTCCAGTTACTCATCACTCATCTGGTCACCACCCCCACTGACTGTGGATTCCCCTCTCCTTCTCAGGGAAGCCGGTGTACATTGCCGAAAAGATGATTGGCGGTGGTGGCATCTACCACAAGACGTGCTTCTCATGTAACGGCTGCAACAAGCGACTGGAGAGCACCAATGTCACAGAGCACGAGGGCCAGATCTACTGTAGGCGTAAGTACGGACGGCGATGCGACGGCAGGGACTCGATGCTCATAGATGTCATGCGAGACATTTCCGTTAGGCGTGGGCTTGCCAGGGCTTGCCAGGTTTGGGACGTTATTTGTCGCATTTTCTTATTTTTCTAGCTGGTATAAGAACGGATGTGACTGGCCTCAGTACGCCTGAATCAATGACCAGGTTTGACTTAGATGCGTTATTCTTCTGTTACATTCTGTTCCTTGGTGTCAGTCATTCTGTTTTAATGACGTTTTCCTGTTTTCAGCGTGCTACGGTCGGAACTTTGGTCCGAAAGGCTACGGGTACGGCATTGGAGCGGGCACGCTGCAAACCGAGGCCCAATAAACCTGTGCGATTGTGGCGTCACCTCTTCCCATGTGAACAGACTAGTGCGCGATGCTGCGGGCAGGTGGCAGCAGTGTTTGGTATGATCGTTTCGGCTAATCTGCGCCCGCCAACGACACATTCCTTCTGCGGTGCAGGCCACAGTGTTTCCGCCCGCGAGCGCTCGTGGCGAGTGGTAGAGCTGAGATGAAACAATGTTCGTCGATAAATCTTAAACGATGATCGCTCTTTGACGGTTATGTAGTTCTACGGGTTTCAAGATGGCTAACAATCGCTGACTTGGGCCGCGCGGCTGCCATTTAGAAATGACTTAGAGCGCTTGTGTATTTTTGTAGTTTTCTTCCCAAACGCTGCATCCTGTGAGCTACACGGACCAATGTTCTGAGTGTAGTTTCTGGCCCTGCCAGCGTCTCGACAGCGAGGCGCTTCACCGGCGTTGGTACGCCCGGTACTTGTACAATGCTGTGTTTGTGTATTTACGATAGTGACTCGCGATTGTAGCACGATTCCAAATACATGTACTTATAGTCTGCAGGGCTTTGATGTGGTGGTAATACAACGTCAAGACCGCTACTTTTGACGAGCAAGAAACGTAAAAGTAGGCAAGCCTGATACAGACGACACAAAAACAAAAAAATGTTGGGAGTAAGCCTAGAAACCTAAGAAATTCAGTTTAGAGGCTGTGTCATGCATTGAAATGTAAGCTTTTTTTCTAGACGTCACCGGTACCACTTTGAGGAATGATTTTTTCGCCGTTAATCCGTTTATAGCCCAGTTCCACACTACCCACCCCTTTATCAAGCTTATTTCTCCTTAACGTGCCCGAGCCTAAATTTTCGGTGGCGATCGTATACCGGTGATGTTTTGCACTATACGGTCGTCCGTATACCCGCACCGGTGATACCGGTCATGTTTTGCACTATAGTGCAAACATGACGACCGTATATATACGGTCGTTCGTATACCAGCAGCTTAGGCAGAGCGGTCGACGGAGCCGATCGCACTGAGGACAGGTGATGCTGTTACCGCTCGACTGACCGCTGTCTACCGCGCGGATACTCCGATGAACCGCAGTGCCGCCGGTCAATGGTGCACGACGCGCGGTTCAACGTCCGAAACTCTATGGTAGTTTGCAGCGTGCTGCTCTACTTATCGAACGGGACTGCAGACTGGCGTTTGGACTAGAGAAAGTAGATAATGAATTGCTTTTTATCATATATTGACTATGATATTAAAATAAATAGGGGTGAACTTTTAATATCAGTCGGATTCAGGCATTAATAAAAGGAACTTGATAAATTTAAAACATCCTCTTTTTCGTTTCTATTGTGCTAATTACATGCTGTTCGAGAAGCATTCCGCCTCACGCTTTACTGAAAAAAAAACTAGGCAATAGGCATGCTCTCGCTCACAATGGATAAAGACAGTCTAAGAAATGTATTACATTTAAGCACACAATTTTATCAATTATTCAAGCATTTAACAAAAAGTAGACAATTCGAAAACACCTATCAATCGATTCAGCCAACAAACCCATTCGCATCTTCACAATGATCACACGTTCTCCAATGTCTGCTTCTCTTGAGCCACGCACCGCCTTGTACCGCAGTCTGAAAAAGCCCAGAGACGCAGGTTACTCAATACTCTGCAGCCGCGGGGTTTGTCCGCCCGTTAAGACTGGTCTGTGTCCGGTCTGAACTCGGGTCTTGTCAGTTTAGGGTCTGATCAGATTAATTCAGCTGCGTTCCACCAACAGTTATGTTTGTAAACTACGAGTAAATCGTAACGGTCAGATATTGTAAGGTTTCGGTATGGGCGAAAAATTGAACTGCCTATTTTAGATCATAGTTTGAATCTAAACAGTCTGATGAGTTTACACTTACCTTTGGCAGGGCTGGGCGATGGCTGACAGACCAGCAGACCGCCATTGACAGTGACACCCACTGTCATTTGTTGATCCTGATGTCATCCCAGCTGCATCACTCACGGCTGTGAGCTCCAGAGTTCAGACTCTGGTTTTCGTGACCAGCTGACCTGGCGGGAGTCGACCAACGCTCTGAAGGTGTTCGTGGCAGCCAGTCTTCTTTACCGAGAGTGTGTGTACCACTGGGTGGACAGTCGTGGCAATCCAACTCATGCGCCGCACAATCTGGGAAACAGACACACATGTAGGTATATAAAATATGTGATACGGACAACTTGAGACAGTCGATTAGTGTTGAGATGGTATTCGGCCCAACAAATAAATAGTTGAAATCGAAGGCATTCTTCGAGAGACAGAGTGATTGATTGGGTGAGTGAGTGAGTGAGTGAGTGAGAGTAATAAGTGAGTGAGTGAGTGGAGGAGAGAGAGAGAGAGAGAGAGAGAGAGAGAGAGAGAGAGAGAGAGAGAGAGAGAGAGAGAGAGAGAGAGAGAGAGAGAGAGAGAGAGAGAGAGAGAGAGAGAGAGAGAGAGAGAGAGAGAGAGAGAGAGAGAGAGAGAGAGAAGGGGAGGGTGGGAGTGAGCATCTTACCTTCGATGTGTTGTGTCGGTGCCGGGGCGCTGTGACAGGCTGAAGATCTTATTCTAATACCAACTGCCACGGAGCCAGGATAACGTTCCTATAGTGCTGTTCCACCGACGCCAGACGTTAGAGTGGTACCCCGACGCTCCTCCACTCCTATCGCTCACACGAGGACAGCGCTGTTCTATCGTAGCGCAAATACCTGACGGAGGCCCACCAAGCCACGTGTAGCGTCGCGCGCAGCCACGCCCCGATAAGACGGAGTTCAGGGCGCTGAAGTATGCAGGTAGACCACCACTTATCTGCAACAAGACCAGCAACGGTCGAGTGATTGGTCTGGAGTAGTCTCTTTGTTTGTAGAGTAGCACCGGCGTCGGTGCAGGGTATGTACCGTGGGCTGATAACGCCAACGGTCCGATGAGAAAAAAGTCAGATATAAGAGTTATCTATGGAGCATAATTCAACCTTTTTACTACCCCAACTAACGTGCAAACATACAAGCACACTGTGGTAAGATGCATAAAATCGAAGACGGGTATTCACAGACCCAGTACCTATTTTAGTTTATTTTACATCTCGACGATGATGGCCAGTCAGATGTTCTTGACCGCAAAGTCAGATATCTTTTAGTCATAACATGTCATAACGAATCGTCAGTGTCTGTTTCTTAAGCCAGCAGACACGCTATAATTAACGCATCAAGTGTTAGGTATGTGCTTGAGTTTCCGATGAATGCCCATTGCGTGTCGGACAATGTCAACAACCGTACAAAAACCATTTAATTTGGCTGTTGACTTAGTATAGGTGGATTCCCTAACAGCATGAGTCCGCCACGCAGCAGCGTTAATGACTGGGTTTATCGTCACTGAAGAAACAACACTGGTGCATGTAACTTGTGTTTGCCCAACGGACAATGCATCGTAAAAGGTTTGTTTGATCCCACTCAACGCACACAAATTATGGGTCATTTGTACATGCAACTGGGAAAGCAGTGCTAATTTCTAAATCGATTCGTTTATATCTCCCTGTGGTTCTAATCCCGCACAATGCACGGCGCACACCCCAATCACCAAAACGCTCGGTGAATGTCACTCATTCGCCGCTAGATGGCAGTAGGAGTCGACGCCTGAAGTTATGCTGTGCCGCAGGACACCGATACTGAAGCCCGCATCGCCCGGCTTCAACATAACATTACGCAGCGGTTCCTAAATTTGGTAACTTGCAAATTATATATGGGAAAGGGAATAGGAAAGCAGCCAGCGTATTCCCCATATATCGCTGGATAATGGATATGCATTTCAAGGCATTGAAGAAGAGACTTCACGGTTCATTCCTCGGTGAATTTAGTCGGTAAAATATGTTTTGCGTCCATACCTATTTACCTGCAACGCTCTACTTTAGGCTCACTATACGTTAATATCGTTTAGTCATTCAAATTCGCATAAATATTCACACAATGTGAATTGTTCGACGCAGCAATAGCCCAAGTTACAAGACACGAGGTAACGTTCACTTAGCAATACATCAGCGTCACAATGCCGTCGAGCGGCTGCGTTATTCCATCCACGCCGTTCTGATGGATTAACAATTAGCCTTGGGTGGGCGGTGCCTTATCGAGCCGGTCACCGAGGCACCGGCCACACAGGCGGGACACGGTGGGAACACCGCACGCCGGCACCTGCACGACCCCACGACAGCGGCCACCGGCGGCGGCGGTACGGTCGATCGAGTGTCGCTTTGAGCGACCTCCTGGGCCACTCGGACTGTGCAATGTGCATTACAGCTCCGCTTCAGGCACTGGTACCCGGTAATTGGGTGCAGTACGGGGTCGATCGTTTTCCCTGACCGACACTAGGACCGGATGGTTACATGCGATATTCTTGTTAAACATTCCTTTAAAAAAAAAATGAAGCGCCAAAAAGAAACGTTTAAACATTTTGTGAGCATAAACCTGAAGTACGTAGATGCAATGAACAATATAATTTTAAAAATAAATGATTTTTATTGTTTTGAAGGTGCAACAATACTTATTTCAAGATGAGGAGGATCGTATGACGAAAATATCTAATATCTAGTCAGTGTCTTACAAAGAAATTGTGGTATAAGGGCTGTGAACTCTTTTGTAGCAGCTTTCAAGCTGGCTCAAACCTTCTTCGAAACCTCAACACAAAAATCTTCTGCTTTCTTCAACTTCTTTTTTTGCCAGTCGCGATGAACATTATGCAGCAGTATCCAAATAAAACGGCAGGTGCTCTAAGAGTACGGTAACCAGGTTACAAGACTTGACCGAAACCAATGGAACCATTGCGTACAGACCGTCACGTTAACATTGCATGTCACCCTCACTCTATAGACCATGCACGTGTGCCGCGCGGGACGTGCTATAGCACTGTACACGTCAGGCGCGGATACAAGGGGGGGGGGGCCATGGGGGCCATGCCCCCCCCCCCTTGGCCGATTTTTTTCAAAAATAAAATAAAAAGTTAAAAAGTTAAAAAGCTGAAAAGGGGGCCTCCTGAAAATAAAGTGGCCGAAATCCGATGAGTTTTTTTTAACCTACCCACTTAGTTATTTCTTAGAAGACTAGCTGAGAAGACTTCTTTGTTAGAAGATTGGTAAAGCTTTTCATAACTTGGAGGTCTCTTATACTCACAGAGATGACCACTTTTACAGGGCCTCCTAACCTGCACAGAGGGCCTCCAAGCCTGCACAGATGTTGAGATGTTGCCTGAACAGCTAGATAAGCTCAATAGACGCAGTTTTTTTTGGGGGGGGCCCAACAAGTGGGAAGATGGGGCCTCCAACAGGTGGGATTATGGGGGGGCCTCCTGGTTTCTAATGGCCCCTCCCTTGGAGATTTTCTGGATCCGCCCCTGACACACGTGTCGCCTACCGTCGCTGTGCCACGGGACGGGACCACGGACCAGCGCCACGGGACGGCACCACGGGACCAGACAACGTACCAGCGCCACGGGACGGCACCACACACCGGCCGCCGGGCCGTTATTTATTGACCGTTCACGTGTAACGATATGGCAACGCGTCAACAGAGCGGGTCCGCCGGCGCACCGCGGGTCACCGTCGGACGGAGCGGAGGGCAGCAGCTGGCGCAGGTCGGGTCGGGTCGGCGGGTGTGCGGGTCGGGTCGGGGTCGGGTCAGGTCCGTGGGTTAGGTGAGGTTCGAGCACTGGTTGAGAAGCGGATACGACCGAAACCGGACGGAGTGCACGGCGGTCGACATTAGGGCTCAGGCAGACAGGTAAGAAGGGACTGGGAGTAAGAGGGAAAGGGTGGGAGACAGGTAAAAAGAGGCGAAAGTAAGAATGAAAGTTTTTAGTGCTAATTTTGTCTGGTTGGATTGTAAATTGCATAATTCAGTTGTTTTGCTTGTAAAAATTGAGACATCGACTGATACGTTGTTCTTTTCTTTCATCAGAAAGCCAAACCGGTAGCCCGAGGTCAACTTTCACGAATTGCAGCGGGCAACTCGGTAAGGTTCCCCTCTGTCATTGGTGCAGCTGTCATTAGCAAGTTTCGCCAATCACGTATCAAAATAATAAAAAAATATCTAGTAACATTCCATTTACCTTGTTACATACAGCGCGGCGTCGAAATCCTTCCAATGAAACTTTTATGAGACGCGAGAGTTAAATATGCGCCGTTTATCGCTTGCCATGGCTAAACAAATTAGTGCAAAGTAGTGTTAATGGTTTACTGGGTGACTATGGCTTTATGTGGCCCGTAAACACGATGAGAAGACTCTGTTGCATCGCAGCGATATACGCAATGCATGGACTATGAACTATGAAGCCACCTGACTTCTCCCGCAAGCGATTCGTTATGTCAATAATACTGATAGTTAACCACACTATGTAGCTTGAGGAGTTCTATAGCCTTCTTAACCCAGCAGATAATGGCAGTCGGCACAACGCATCCTTATTTTCTGACTCTGCAAGGTACTGGAATGGATACCACATACCCTCTAGGCCTCAAGCATGTATGTTAAACCTAAGATGTTGTTTCTCTACCTTGTACTTTTAATGCCATCTGACTCCCCCCCCCCCACCCCTGTTTATAATAAATCCTTTCACACTGGCTTCAGTGAAGTTCCGTGGAAAAGATGTCCGAAATAGAACAAGATATCAAGAAGGTTGTCATCACCTTCTTCGCACCACCTCTGAATGACAAGGACAGCAAGAACGATGAGCTGCGGAAGAAGGTGAAGAACTCAGGACGGTTCGACCACGGCGGCTACATGTTCCGGACGCGCGAGGTCTATGACACGTATCGGTATGGAGGTGAGTGTCGCCGGGGGAGGGAGGGAGGGAGGGAGGGAGGGAGGGAGAGAGAGAGAGAGAGAGAGAGAGAGAGGGGGGGGGGGGAGAGAGAGTTGATATAAAATAATACATAATATACGCTTAAATTTCAAGAGATTTAGAAACGATTTCACAACACATAGGTACGGTAACTATGTGAAATCGTCAACTATATAAAGAATTATAACGTCTATAATAAACGTACAGTATTTACAAAGAATGTCTCTAGCAGATACATTAGGTCAAAATCACACTATAAATTCATTTTACCTACTCGTCACATGTTTATTTTTTCAGGAGCATTTCCAATGTTTCATTATCAAGATGACCAGAAAATGGTTCAAGATCTGGAGGATAACCCATCTAAGATGTTCCCAAAGTTCGCTCTCGGTGACGGCGTGGAATCTCGGCAAGGTGAAAAAGCTAACTAAATTTTAATATCCCTCAATATTTAATTGCATCACCCTTAGTAATGCTGTTGATGATACAGGTAATGATGGTGATGATTATAATTGCATATACAATGATACAATGATTTCACTTTCCACAGGCTACCAATCGATTAAAATGACAGGATAAGCGCCACAGATTCTCAAAGTTCTAACAGAATCTGATGAGTCTGTGGTAGGACATCCGTGAATGGGATTAGAATGGTATTTGTCCAGTACCATTCTCATCCACTGGTGACCTTCGAGTCGTGTTTGTCATTCTGCAGTCATCTATACCCAGCTAGTGAAATCCAGTCTCATGTCTTCATTAAAAGTCACAGATGGTGAATCATTTCAGGCATATACCACGAGGTGGCCAGGAAGCGACTGAAGGCCTACGACCCCGACTGTCCGCTGGATGACCTCAGCTTCATAACTCTGGCCTACAAGGCCCTCGAGCCGGAGCCTGTCAAAGAGCTACTGGACAACTGGAAGACCTGGACGGGTGAGCAGACCGCACTATAAATGCTGATGATTGGAAACACTTTGTTTTTGTTTTTAGTGAGAATTCATTGATCTTATTTGATAAGTTTTTAACGGAGAGCGAGTTGATGGTAAAAATTCGTGGTTCTAGCATGCAGAAAATATCACTACCAAGTACCACACTTATTTTATCTGCTTGATGTACCGTTGTCCGCTGTTTGCCACACGTGACGATTTTGGTGTTTATGACTGATGTTGGCAGGCCGTTGAGGTCGAGTGTAACAATCTTGTTGTTTTGTATGCTATTGCCAGGCGCACGTGCCATTTTGGAGGATTTCGGTGACAAAGTCCCTATCCAAGAAGTGATATTCTTCGCCCGTCACTACCCGGCTGATTTCGACGTGTTCGCCTACATCGTACTGCTGAGCTTCAAAAACGAGCCGGAGGCGGCCCGTTGGGTTCTCTACTATGTGAGTCGGCAGAAAAATATGCAGGGTTGCATCACACAAACCAAAAGTCAGCACCGCTGTGGTGGCAAGTGTTTCGCTTTTCACGAGTCATTGAACGCATGCTTTGTACGCTACATAAAGCGTTGTCGTATTTCAATCAGAGCTACAGGCACATGGTTACAATATTATTCATGTCTTAGTTATAGTCTATATAGTTTCGCTGCGACGCTGTCGACTCAACTTCTTGGCTCTTGCCGCAGACTGGGATAGAACATTAAACCAGTCGAAACTATTAAAACGACTGAGAGGACACCGGAACAGGACTTACTCAGTCATTATAAACCTTTGACTAGTCATGGTCAAAGTGCAAATGACAATTGCTTCACTTGGACTGGACGTAACGCCAATTGATGCAGAGCAGCATTAACTGCAGCATTAGTTTGGCACACGCGCGGTCCCTGCCGACTGACAATCAAACTGATGCCTGGACTGTTGCCCGCCCCCTGCAGGCTGAGCGTTGGACCAGCCCTCACACATATACCCCGTCTGCTGCAGGTACAGAGACTGCGTGTGGAGCGCTGGTTCGGCTACAGTACGGTATACGCGGCCGCCCCCAGCTATAGACGGCATGTTGGCACCCCGGGCACCCCGGCCGACAAGTGAACGGTGCAGTCACCGGCAGCAGAGGCGCCACGGGGAATAGGGAGCCGGCCGGCGCGGCAGACGTGCAGCGTCCTGAGATCGTCAGAGATGTGCCATGTGTCATCAGTCTGCGCGTAGGGTGACACCAGTCACCTGTCAGGCGTCATCAGCCACTGTGCCTCTGCTGGTTGGGTGTAACCTATCACTGTGTCAGGGTGTCTGCAACGAAACCGAGACGCCACGACAGAATGCTATAATAAAGATCTTATATGGAACGAAATACTCATACCTACAATTATCACCACTGTGCCTGATATCTCACCTCGGGGTATTTATATCATTTTGTACATAGTAATACAACTTAAGTAAATCCTTAGCAACTGGTTCCCACTTCCCAGTACCTATTTCTGGGGGGAAGGGACGAGGTAATCCCGTGACCCGTACCATATAAAATGTGCTTTCAAGCCCGGGTGAGTGGCCGCTACCCGCTGTCATATTGTTATCTCACCTGAAACTCATTCACCACTTAGGTAATTCGGACTCAAGGTTACGCCCCTGCGTTCCTGCTGTCTTCTTATCCATAGCAATTGCAAATTCCTTCATAAATTTGCATTCATTATCGGCATTCAACATAACCCAATTAAATCCAACTACGCGCACGAACTTTTCGTGACAAACATTCTTAACGACCACTTTGCGTCAACCATACCATGGGAGTAGGAACCTCACGAAAAGTGTGTGTGTTGGTAAGGAGGGGGGGGGGGGCAGCGAAACTTCAATGTCACTTTGTGGGAGCCCCAATACCCCTTAAGAAGACATTCTTGCAGTTTTGTACTCATCTCACCTTGCTGAACTATTTCATGCTCTTAGTTTTGTATCTAAATCAAAAACAAATATATTACTTTAAAAAATGACTGAAAAGTGGGGGGGGGCGGGGGGCATGGCCAACGGCCCCCGCCCCCTGTTCCAACGCCTATGAACCATATCAACTACTTTGAGAATGGCGAGTGATATTTTTGTGCGTCATATAGTTATTTACATCGAAGTGATGATTCACCTAGTGAACGAGCTATAGGTCGTCTACTAGCTCCTAGAGTTTACCTCTGCAACCTATATTTGATGCACAATAAGCAGTAAATAACTTAAATGCGTTCAATTTTCAATCTTTCTTGATGTTACAAGTCATTTGCCGCGTCTCCGCTGTTATGTTTCGTACAGTTTCTAGATGTGTTGAGGCTGTTATGTCGCTCCCCTCCCGCAGTCGCTCGCTCCCAGCTGGCTCAGACCTCACCTCCCTCCGTCCGTGCGAGAGAAAAGGACAAACAGGTGGCGTTATTGTGAGAGAAGAGAATTGGTGATAATGTGTCATTCGTGTTGCTGCCGCCCAAACCGCTGCAGCTGAACATGTCAGGTGTGCGCATTCATCGACGATCTATGCATCTGTCGCATTCGTTCGCAATAAATACACAGTCTATGCAGATAATATATGAATAAATCCCATACCTACTGGTCTCTGCTGGTGCGTTACACATAGGGCAAACGCTGTCGAGGGCTGCTAATACCTCAATATACGAAATATCCTAACATAAAACTGAGGAGGGGTGATTAAAGGGACCCTCCCACCTTCAAAAAAGTTTATGAATTGGCATGAAAGTGATGTCGCTCGGTTCAGAAAGAGCGAAAACGAATTCTACCAAATTTCACCGAAAAATATTCACCGGTTTTCAAGATATTAGACTTTTACTTTTGTTTACTTTTTGGGATCTCCGCTGTTCCTAGCGACTTTATTTGGAAGCAATAGTTTGGCAGCTGAAAGTGCGGCACTTGTTGCGCGCAAAGCAGCATATACTACCGCGTGCTACAAAACGTTTCAGTCAACATTTAAAAATCGTTAGATATCTGCGCTGACGTCACACATTCAGAGGGGTATTCCTATGCATTAGCCCCTCTGAATCAAAATGCTGCAATTTTGAAATTCAATATTTCCGATTTAAGGCATTTCTCGATGTTGTGAGTGCCGAAACCGGTAATTGTGAGCCAGGGACCCCATTTTGGCTATCTCAACTCAAATCTTATGTTAAGGTGGGAGGGTCCCTTTAAGAAAGAAATCCCCGCCAATCACATTATCACACGCGCTACTACACGGGTAAACGGCAAATTAACTTCTTTAAATGCATCGTTCTGCTGCTGTGGTAGAGGCATAACACCATTGTCGTCAAAATTGTTTCTAAATAAATGGTTCTTGAATTTCAACTTTCAAGAAATGGTTCAATCACATGGTTCTTGGTGTTGTTAACCCTATTAGAGGCATGCTCCTGTCACCGGAAAGGGGTCAGTGGTCTTCTTATGTTAAAAAAAACGTTTGATAAAATGACGAAAATTATATTAGATATTCATAGGCGGCGTCAGGGCACCGAAATTAGGAGGTGAAATCGAACTACCTTTCTTTTTCCTGGACCCGCCTATGATTCATCCCTTGTTCACTTGTGAACTTGTACCTAATGCCTACAAATAATGTTGATATGCCCACAGAATGAATAACTACAGTTATAATGCATCAGCATCGTGATCTTCACCCACAGCAGGGGCGTAGCCAAAAGGGGGGGCATAGGGGCCATGCCCCCCCCCCCCCGGAGCCCAAAAGGGCCCCCATCACGGTGTCATAAGTACGGTAAGGGGCACAATAAAAGTAGCGTAAGGGCCCCTCGGGGCACTCCACTGGGTTCGCGGGGGCCTTTCGGGCCTGAGACCTTGCCGCTAGGGCCCTCTGGGCTCTCTTCATTGGTTATAAAGGGCCCTTCGGGCCTTAAGTTTTGCCACTGGGCCCCTCGGGGCCCCTTTCCATTGTGTTCGCAGGGGCCCTTCGGTTCTCTCAGTTCTAACATTTTTTTTCATTTTTAAATAATTTTTTTTTAAATTTATTAGGGCCCCCTCCAAAAAATAGTGGATGAAATCCGATGACTTTTTGAATTTTGAGGGGTTTACTTTGGGCCCCTGTAAGTTTGGCCCCCTCCTGGAGGAAACCCTGGCTACGCCCCTGCTAACCCACATTGACATAACTTGCCTCACGAACAGGACCTCCCAATTCACCATGCCCTGGAATCGCCCCTGACAAATTTATCAACTTGACATTTCAGGGCCCAGTTTAGTTTTAAGAAAAGTCAGAAAATTTCAGCTTCCTAGCTCCAGCCGTACCTATATTCCCGAAAAACCTGAGGGGGTGAATGAAAACTATCCTCTGCCACTAATTGGGTTAAGAGGCGAAAATGATAACAAATAGTTAAATTGAAAATTTCAGTTTTTCAAAGAAGTGCGTGCGTTATGTGACTGTCTGTAAAATATTTGAAATATTCAAAGCAGCCCCACTTTACTTTGGTCAAATTCAGTAACCACTGTCCACCAAGCATTATGGTCGCAACTCGCAATTGCCGTGTGCCGTGACGGGGCTTCAAATGATTCAAGGTACGTTTTTTCGGCTACTAGTCTTTTACCTACTGTTTTTGTTTCGAATTTTCGACCTTCGTATCGAGGTCGCTCTGGTCGTTGTCAAGAAACTACAGACACTGAGCTTAGCAATTACGTGTAGCATGTCTGTTGCTAAGAGATGAGTGCCGATCGGTAACATATTTTTTTTTTTTCAGATGCAGCCCATGAAGTTCTAAACTATCGACGTTGAAGCATAGTCATTAATCATGATTTATCATAATTTGTCGATCAAAACATCATTTTGTTTACAAAAGATACCTGAAAACTTTACCAAACGTGCAGGCTGTATCATTTTTTTTTTTTTTTTTCACCTATGTAGAGGTTTCTGAAACCAGCTGAATCACGATCGCACCAATCAATTAGCGTTCAGGTGGCAGTCGCGTGCCGCCGGCCGCCGGGGCCCTCCGACAGTCGGACGATCTCTGCACCCGCGCGAGGACGGGCCCGCTGCTCTGACTCCGACGGACTCCGGCAGCGCACGACTGACGGACCGAACACCACGGAACCCCGAAGGATTCCCGCACCACGAGACTGTGACGGACTTCCATCACCCTGGCAGCACAGGACTCCGACAGACTAAGGAATCTTCCACCGCTCCGACGGAACTGAGCGCATCACTCAGAAGGGCTGCTGCTATTGGCGAAGAAAAACGTCGACGCTTGGAAATACATTGGTAGTGATTGAGAATGAGCTAACCTGAGCCAATTTGGCAAGTAGTCACAAGTTTTATTAATCGGCTATCCATAGCTTTCCTTCGATTCTGTTTTCAAAAGAAATAAACTCAATTCCAGTCCAGTGAAGCTTGAAGCTGCCGAAGTAAAAACATGGCGGTGACTTCATTCTGTGACGATCCGGAGAGAAAAGCGACCGAACCATTGCTGAGCTCGTCGAAACTCGACTACGGTGGCACCCAAGACGAGAAGATCGACCCTCATTGTGTGGCACTACCAGAGGAAACACCGCTGGTGGGATCCAAGTCCGACCCGGTTGCTCCAGAGTCACCCTCGAGTCGGTACACGCCCCGGCAGAAGCGTCTGCTGGCTGGTCTCGCTGTGGTCAGCATGTTGAATGGCTCGCTGATGGCCGTCATGGCTCCGTTCTTTCCAGCAGAGGCAGCGCGTCGCGGCGTACCTCAGACAGCCATCAGCGGCGTCTACAGCTGCTTCGCGCTCACCCAGGTGGTGCTGTACCCGCTGGTCGGCTCGCTGTCGCTGCGGGTCGGCGTGACGCGCCTCTACAACGCCGGCATGGCCACCGCCGGCGTCTCGACGGCGGCGTTCGGCGCCTTCAACTACATCCGCGGAGGCACGCCGTTCATCGTCGCCTGCTACGTCGGCAGGTTCGTGGAGGCCACCGGCACCGCCTGCGTGGCCGCCTGCGCCTTCACCATCATCGGCAACCAGTTCGGCGACTGCGCCAGCTCGGCAGTGGCCATGGTGACCGCAGCCCAGTCGATCGGTATCACGGTCACACCGGCGCTGGCGGGAGGGCTGTACGCGTTGGCTGGCTTCGGGCTGCCATTCTACGTCATCGGCGGCGCCATGATCGTGGCGGCGGTCATCAACGCCCAGTTCATGCCGGCAGTGGTAAAGGAGAACAATTCCTCGGAAGGTCTGTTCCACATGGTGAGGACTTTCGCGGGCTCCCGCGAGAGCTGCGTGTGTCTACTGTTTGTGTTCAGCTACATGTTAATTTTTCTTGCCTTCATTCCGTCGGCAGCGCCGTACGCAGACAGCGTCCTCGGGGCCTCTCCAGCCATGATCTGCCTCTTCCTCAGCGTCGCTGCCGCCTCGTGTGTCGTCATGAGCTTCGTGTGGGCGTGGATAGCGGAACGCATCTCCAACCCGTACCCGATGATGGCCATCTGCCTGCTACTGGTGGCCATCAGCCAGCTCCTGATCCCACCTGTGCCGTGGCTCGGTCTCCAGCCAAGTCAGTGGCTGTTCGGACTGGGCATGACCATGGAGGAGGCCGTGTTCGGGGGCGCCTACATCCCGTGCTTCCAGCTAATGCTGACAGCCACGGTGCGCGCCGGTCTCCCTGACGACCTGCGCACGCACGCGTTCGTCTCCAGCGTCTACTGGACGGCGTACTCGCTGGGTATCGTGGCGGGTCCGCTGGCGGGCGGCGCGCTGGTGGACGCCTATGGGTTCTCGATGATGATGACGGCCGTGGCGGGATGGGCGGTGCTGATGGCACTGGTGGCAGCAGCTCAGGCTGTCGCTAAACACACCGAGCTGAGGAGGGGTCAGTGAGGGACTCTGGTGTGGGGGAGCGATAAGCCAGTGTCTCCGTCAGCAGAGGAGCGGCAAGGCCCGCGGGAGGACAGAATGGGTGACGAGAGACTTGGAGAGAGGTTCTTTTCATGCGCGGAGAACATAATAAATCCTTGGCAGCATAAACTGCTGAGAGAGCATGCTAGTTCTCCGTTCGAATGAATAGCGTGTCTCAAATGTCGCCACGACTTTTTCGATACAGAGAATGCACTTCAGGGAAAAACGTATAAATATTTTATCCGATCATTGCCGACTTGTTGAGACTTTGACTGTGTAGCGTGCAGAGTGAACCACCAATCTGCCATGCAGTTTTGCCCGCCAGTCGCACAAAGTATAAACTAATAAGCGCATCAAGTCTCTTCATTATTTGGAGCCAGTACAGCGGCCTAAAAGGCTACCAGCCTCCTCAACCACTTCGCCGCTGTTTGATGCTCCTGTTTCGGTGCTCCATTTCTATAAGATTGGTACAGAATAATACGTAGATCTGAGGAAATATAAAGAAGAGCCAAAGTCTTTTTTTTTTTTTGTTATCTTTCGACGCTCCGAACATGCAGTCAGACTTTGGTGCCTGGTGGCGAGTGTGAGTAGGGGAAGCCGGGGGAAGCCCGGGCGCGGGGGAAGCCCGGCCACCCCGTTTCCGGCTAAATTATTCACAATAAAATGCTCAACTGTTTGTCCTTTCAGCGTGGCAGCTAAGGTAACACCAGCAAAAAAGTTAAGGCTAACAAAAATTGCATATTGTTAAAGTTATAGCGCAAAAATGATATTTTGAGGGTTTTTAGCTAAAAAGTGAGGTATGTTGCACTGCTAATGTTGTACCATACAGTACTAATATTTATACGAATGTTATGTAAGGACCGTTTAAGTGTTTGTAGTCAGGGGTGACGAGGCAGACTGGCTGAAGTATGACATTTTTTCGAATATCGCTGTTCTAAAATAAAAATTAGCACATTGGGGTAACCCCGGGCGAGTGGCCAAGCTTATCCCCAACCGAGAGCAATGCCACTAAACCACTGTTTTCCATGAGATAATAGGTACTGAGCAGGTTTGGTTTACACCTAGATCAAAGATAAATTTCGAAAATAAACATGTTATCATAGACAAAGCCAGTCATGTCACTTACGGTCAACTAGGGTCAAACTACGTTTTTGCAGATTACCCGACAGACAATGAAGCTAGAGCTTCAAAAATGGTGTCGTTGTGTTCTTCTTCATCAGCCGAGTCGAATGATATGCAATATGATGCAAAAAGGTAAAAAGAAAAATAAATTTTTAAGGAATTTTGAAATACACATTTTTTGTCAATTTTGCATCACGATTTTCATCGACCTGTACTGTATATGTGGTAGACGCTAGCTAAAATACCAGTAGTGACATAAACTCTAAGATGTCCACAGCTTATCAGTACCTTAATATTTCACTTTCCGTTAATATTTGGAAGACACATATGACATAATGGTTTCATAAACTCGTTGTAAAGCGCTGGGGAGGTGGCCGGCGTTACCCCTATGCCGGGCTTACCCCAGAAAAATCAACACTTTTTTAAAACTCGATTTTCTCAACCTTATACTTATTCCACGAAACCGAATTTTTGGGAAAACACGGCCAATGAACTTAGCTAGATAACAGAATATCAACATTTTATACAGCACGTATGGTATGTAATAAAAATGAAAAGAGCTTACTATGCCGGGCTTCCCCCGGCTTCCCCTAACTACGTGGTGTAAAGCATGGGAGAATACCTTGAGATTCGACGTAAACCAATTACAAAGCGATATCGATCACCGCTAACGAGAGAGAGAGAGAGAGAGAGAGAGAGAGAGAGAGAGAGAGAGAGAGAGAGAGAGAGAGAGAGAGAGAGAGAGAGAGAGAGAGAGAGAGAGAGAGAGAGAGAGAGAGAGAGAGAGAGAGAGAGAGAGAGAGAGAGAGAGAGAGCGAGAGAGAGAGAGAGAGAGAGAGAGAGAGAGAGAGAGAGAGAGAGAGAGAGAGAGAGAGAGAGAGAGAGAGAGAGAGAGAGAGAGAGAGAGAGAGAGAGAGAGCTCTGCACGCGCATGGGGCCGAAACTGGCTAGACCGTGCGTGCTCGAATAAGGCATTTTTCATCGTCGACGACAGCAACAATGGAGCGCGCAGCTTCGCTCACATGTGGGAACAGATGTGTCTAAACGGGACGCAGTGCGACGTTAACGGCACAGCTGTGACGTTAAAAACAAAGAAACAAACGGAGAGACGTGAAGTAATGACAGAAGAACTCGTAATGAAGTCATCGTAAAGCTTCCGCAGCGGTGAGTAGTTACTGCGATGAAGTTAGCACAGTTCTTCATTAGTTAAACATGAAAACTCAGCTGTATAGTACCGATAATCAAAGAAAAAATCTTTTGTGGTCGGCTGGGACCAGAAACAGGTCTCATTTTCGACATTGCACTCGGCACTGGCTAAACCGTAGGCGGCCTTCATGACCGATTCAGAGCAGTGTTCGTTAGTGCTCAACAGAACCATATATCCACTCTCCTATCCACTCTTCTATATAGCGAAACACGAAGAAATATTAACTTTCAAAGTACAAAATTTATTTGTATAAAAATAAGTATTTTACTTGCAAACGGGCGAAAGCTCCAGGACTTCGAAACAACAAAACCGTCCACAAAGAAGCAACTTATCTCAAAAGGGAGGGCAAACCTTGCCACCGACAAAACTCAGACCTTTACACCGTGTCATCGTCATGGGCTGGTTCTGACTTTCGTCACCGTTCACATTTCTCAACTGTACCGTTACATTTGTGCAACTGTTCGGGTTCCACAACACAGCCGGTGGGATCGAGTGTCCGCTCAGTCTCGTTATCACCTGCCCCCGTCGCCGCCCTCCCGGGGGGTACCACAGGCCGGGGGCTGTAGTAGCGCTCCTGAAACAGGTCCATACTGGGGTGCACTGTGGCGCCGGGACGACCTCGCTCTGCCTCAGTCAACTCGCGCCATTTCTCCATGGTGATGAGACGGCGGCTGGCGCGAGACGTCAGCGGCTGCTCGCTGTTGGCCACGAGTCGCAGACAGTCATGGCGCGGCAGCTGATCGGCGGCATACTCGGCGCGCGCCACGGGCAGCCAGAACACCAGCCGGCCGCCGAGGGTGAGCCTCTCTGCGGCCAGCTGTAGGAGGTCGGCGAACAGCGCCCCGGCGCAGTAGCCCGCCTGACTCACCTCCCGGATACCGTACGGAGGGTCCGTGACGATCGCGTCCACGGTGACACCGCGTCGCCAGACGTCCGGCCGCGCTGCGTCCGCCACCAGCACGTCCACCAGGCGCGAATGGAGGCCGTACTGACGCAGGTTCGCCGCGATACTCTCATGTTCACCACGCCGCCGACCACGCTCCTGCACTCGCGATGGCCTGGTGCGCGCGTGCACCGTGGCAGAGTCGATGTCAGCACCGAGCACGTAGCCACCAAAGTGGGCGGCGGCCACCAGGAGTGATCCAGTGCCGACAAATGGGTCGAGGACGAGCCGACCGGGACCGACGCGTGCCATGTTAGCCATAATGAGCGCTAACTCTGGGTCCATGCTCGTGTTGCCGATGTAGGCGCGCCGCTTCAGGGAGTGCTGAGTGATGGTAGCACGTGGTCCGTCACACAGCCAGCGACCAAAGTAGAGCCGCAGCGGCCGCAGCGGCGCCTGATTCGAGTCCGACCCGTAGTGTTCGATCAGCTGCAGACAGAGTTCAGAATCCCGCAGCCTGACCGCGCCCGTCAGCGGGAGAACGTCGGTGATCGCCTCTATGCGTGCCAGTTTGTCCTCGTACGTCAGGTTCTTGCTGAAGGCGTCCACGTTGACGCGGTAGGTGTCTGCGGACAGATGGGGCAGCACCGTCTCCGGGTGGTCCTCCAATCGGCGACGCAGCTGGCGGTGTAGCTCGTCCTCCGTGTCGGCAGCTGCCCATAACTCCACGCAGGCTTTGACGGCCACGGTGCGTCGGGCCACGGCGCAGGCGTCCGCCTCGCTGTCGAATTCGACCACCAGGAAGGGCTCCTGGGCCGACTGGGGCGTCCAGCGACACCGAACGTCCAGCAGGGACAGCACCGAGCGCAACTCGGGCTCGCGGAACTCAGTCAGCTCGTTGGAAAACCACAGCAAGTAGGAGCTGACAGGTGCCATGGCTGGGGGTAAAAACAGAACAAACAAGCTTTAACCCTCGCCGGACCTATTGGTTTTCTACATACGCGCCGGCCGAGGGGGGAGGGGGCGGGTACGAACCCCCTAGCCGTTTCGCCCCTGGTGGAGCTAGCGCGTCGCGGAAAAAAACGAGCGTGTGACTGTGTACCGTTACGAGACGCAGAGATTGGTACCCGATTTTAAGGTCCTAGGTCAACCGGTGACCTCTGAGGTCAGGTCAAGTGCCCCAAAGTACGGTTCAGTTTTTGGTGAATAACTTCGCAAAAAACGGCCGCAGAGCCGCGATTTTGGCAGCATCGTGCTCGCCTCGCTCAGGCGCGTCGAATGATATACATTTTGTTTGGGTCAGGTCAACTTGAAATTTTTGACTCCAGGTCATGTCAGGTCAGGTCACCAGGTCAAGTTAACTGACCAAGCCTTAAAAAAAGTTTGCAATCATGTCCAGCCTGCAGTGTTTGTCAGAAAGGTTTTAAACTTGGTGGATTGCATGCTGTTATGGGAGCCTACAATTTGTATATCTCGGATTTTTTATATCCGTGACCTAAGGTCAGGTCAGTGGCATGACCTTTCCATTACAAGTCAATGGAGAAAAATGAAAATGCCTCTAGATCCGTGTGTACGCATAGGAACAGTCCAAATATTTCAGAATCACAATGATTTAGTCCACTCGTGATGACCAAGGTGTCATTTTTGCTGATAGCCTCTAGAAAGGTCATCCGAGGTCATTTGAGGCTACAAACAGTTTTTTGCCAATAACTCGCGATTGGAAAGAGATAGAACGCTGGGGATGGTCTCATTGTGTTTGTCTTGTTGAGACGCATCGACTGATATGCAACATGACCTTTTCCGGTCAGGTCATGACCTTGACCTGAGGTCAAATTTTTAAGTTGACCTTTCAAGGTCAAATTATAGTTCATTCGACGCGTCTCGGTGAGGGGAACACGATTCTGGCAATAGAAATGTCGTGGCTTTTTGTAGTAGAAAGTTATTGTCGAAAAACACTTTTCGTAAAAACAGCTATTTTTGGAGTTTTTGCCCTCTGGAGGCTAAACCGTTGACCTGAGGACAATATTGATAATGACCTTTTCAAAAGAAGAGTTCAAAAGCTATCGATTGCTTTTCCATGCGTTTTTCTAGCTACCATAGTTCCTGAGATAGCGGCATGTTTTCTGAAAAATATAATGACAATTGGCAAATTTTGACCTTTGATGACCTCTGGTGACCCCAATATTGCTCTAAGGTGAAAAATGACCGAAATACTTTCAAACGTACGTATTGAGAGCTATCGACTGCTTTTTACTGCGTCTTTCTAGCCCTCTTAGTTTTTGAGTTAGAGGTGGGTGGTAACATATGCCCCCCCCCCTCACTAGGGCGAAGTTGGCCGAGACCGCCACTGGGGCGCGGGTTAACCCACGGCGGCCGAGGGGGGGGAGGGTGCCGCCCCCTCCCCATAGGGTTTTTTCGCGATAGCTCCTAACACGCTGGTGATAGAAGCTGAAACTTGGCATACCTGACCTTTGATTCAAGCCGGATCTTTTGACACCAACTGCATTTTCGGGTCAGGTCAGGTCACTGACCTATGACGTCATAAGTGAACCTATGCACGGTCTTCGGATGTCGCAACTTCGCAACGCCCTCACTGCCAAGTGCCAGAGGAGCTTTCACGGGGAAATGAAGCTTGCAGGATCTAGTATCCATTACGAGTCTCACAACCTGTATATCTCGGATTTTTCCTAAAGGTCACATGAGGCCAGGTCATTTTCGTGACCTCACCATTATAAGTCAATGGGGAAAAATGAAAACTGCTATTTTGGCGCCGGGAACGATCTCCAACTATCTAAAGCACACAGAATCGTGATTTGATGCACATTGCACTCCTTGCAAGGTTAGATGCGTCACTTTTGCAATGTTGACCTTGCGTGACGTCATGTATGACGTCATCAAGGTCATACTAGTTTTTCGTCAATAACTCCCGATCAAATTGAGCTAGGGAGTCGGGAAAGCCACCAATGGACTCAGGAAGACCTGCCGAATCGAATGATTGCGACATGACCTCTTTCGACCAGATTCGTGACGTGGGGGCGCTGACCTGACCGTGACCAGAGGTCAACACCCTGACCCAAACTGACATGACCTGGAGTCAAAAATTTCAGACATTGTCCAAAATTGATGTACCAAAAGCTACCCCAAGCGGCGTGGCGCTACGCGCCGCGGTTTTTTATTCACACGCGAAAAACGCGACAGGGTGGTAACTAGAGGTGGCAAAATGTGGACCCGGGGACCCGCCACCCGGTCTATGGAACCGGTCTGGACCCGGATGGGTCCAGACCGGGTCCCCCAAAATATTTGGCCGGGTCCAACCGGGTCTTATCATTTCCCTGTGCTCTAAAGTAAATATCAATATTTTTTATGCTTTGGCAAACATAGTCATAGTTGATGCAGTTTCCAGTTCATAAGTCCCAATTCCACTTTTGAATTTTAATATTCCAGCAGATTGGGCTACCTATTCTATAGCATACTGGTCAGTCTTGCTTCAATTTCTTATCTTGTCACCTACAACAGAATAAACAAGTTCTAAGTGCTAGCAATCCAGAAAACATTTCACCAAATGTTTGTACGGATCACTTCCATTCAGTTTGCTGTGCAACACCTAGCAATATTTTGAGCTGTAGCCTGTAGAAATCAAATACCAATAACATATGTAGGTAAGTAAGGTATGACATATGTAGGTTCAGTTAAGGTATGACTGAAATCCATTTATAAATGGACACAAATCCAATTGAAGCAAGGCTGACCAGTGACATTCTCACCTGCCTTTTCAAAGACCTTGACATACCAGCACAGGGGAGCACTGCCGCTTCAATCCTATTGGCCGTGGTGTCTAACGGTGGCGGCCATATTGCGCAGACCAAGAACCGGCCGCCGCCTGTGTTGAGGAATAGGGAATTCGGGACCTCGATTTACGTTTGCGGCCGCCGCATCCGTTACGTTCAAGTTACGTAGATACGGAACCCGGCATCTTACGCAGAATTGAGTGGGGAACACGATCGTATCTTCAGAATTCCTTAAATTCACTCGCCGGACCTACACTTGCCTCGGCCGAGGGGGTTGATTGAACCCACCTCGCTAATGCGCCGCTAATTTAACTAGAATTAAGCGGTAAAGTGGTCGTATGCGGCAAAGTATAATGCAGAGTGACTGGTAGGAACCCGCTGTAAAGGCCTCAGGTCAACCGGTGACCTCTGAGGTCAGGTCAAGTGATCTAAGGCAAGGGTTCGGTTTTTGGTAAATCACTTCGCCAAAAATGGCCGTAGAGCCGCGATTTTGGCATCATCGTGTTTAGCTAGCTCAGGCGCATCGAATGATATACATTTTGTTCGGGTCAGGTCAACTTAGGGTGTTGACCTCAGGTCAAGGTCAGGTCAGCACCCCTAGGTCACGAAGTTGGTCGAAAGAGGTCATGTCGCATATCATTCGATTCGGCAGGTCTTCCTGAGTCCATTGGTGGCTTTCCCGACTCGCTAGCTCAATTTGATCGGGAGTTATTGAAGAAAAATTGTGACCCTTGTGACGTCACAAATGACGTCACGCAAGGGCAACAATGCAAATATGAAGCATAGAACCTTGCAAGGAGTGCATGAAATCATGATTCTATATGCTTGAGATAGTTTCAGATCATTCTCGGCGCCAAAATAGCAGTTTTCATATTTCCCCATTGACTTATAAGGGTTTAACGTAATAGTTCCTTATATCTGAGGATTTTTTAGGATTTCATCTTGTTCTCCACTCAATTCTGCGTAAGATACTGGGTTCCGTGTCCACATAGCTTGAACGTAACGGATGCAGCGACCGAAAACGTAAATCGAGGTCCCGAATTCCCTATTCCCCAACACAGGCGGCGGCCGCTTTCTGGTCTGCGCAACATGGCGGCACCGTTGGACACCATCTGGCGGCCGATGCGCGTATATTCGGATGCAGTATGAGCAGAGCATGGGTCCCGAAAAATTCCTCAGAAACTAGAGAAATTCTCGGACACACACGACGGGTACCATATGAATGCGGGTGAGACTAAATGCTTACTTCGAAATTTAAGCTGCGTTGCGGCATTGGCGGTTATGTGCGGCGTGTATGCCGCATGATTAGTAAGCGGCGACCACTAAATTAAAAACTCAATAGCTTTGACCTGTTTTCCATGGATAACACTGCATACCAAAAATGTCCATCGCTCTCGTCATAGGATATTTAGATTTAAATAACTAACTTATCTACATCATCGTTTTGAACCAAATTAATACTTTCAACTTGACCCTCGCCCGTATAGGTGTTTTTTTTTCCAGCCGCGAACGTATAAGGTATAACCCCTTGCCGTTTCGCTCCTGATCAAGCTAGAGCTTCGCGGAAAAAACCAGCGTGTTGCCCGTGACGAGATCGCCGATGATACCCAATTTTAAGGTCCTAGGTCATCGGTTGACCTTCCAGGTCAGGTCAATGACCCAAAAGGCAGGAAAATTGGGACCTGTTAGAACGTTGGACGTGGTGAACGTGGGACATGAAAAAGTTGCACCTCTATGTAATATGTGGGTTCGATATACTGTGTGACGTTCCAAGAACTATTTGGGAAAAGTTGCACCTCCGGAGAGACGGACGGACGGACGGAGAGACGGATGGACGGACGAAGAGACTGATGACGGACGGACGGAGAGAGTGACTGATGGACGGACGGATGGAGAAACGGACGGACGGATGGACGGACTGAGAGACGGAAGGGCGGACGGACGGACGGACGGACTGAGAGACGGAAGGGCGGGCGAACGGACGAAGAGACGGACAAAGAGATGGACAGACGGACGAGAGAGAGAGAGAGAGAGAGAGAGAGAGAGAGAGAGAGAGAGAGAGAGAGAGAGAGAGAGAGAGAGAGAGAGAGAGAGAGAGAGAGAGAGAGAGAGAGAGAGAGAGAGAGAGAGAAGGGTGGTGAGAGAGAGAG